ATCTGAACGCTTTCTGCTGGGCACCCTCAAGCACAAATCCACGGCCTCCTCTCCTGACAGCCCAAGACTCACCTCCGAGCATCCTTTTGGGGGGAAGCGCAGGGACCATCCGGTAAGGGAACTTCTGGAGAAGCATCTCATGGAAGACCACAAAGTCATTGTAGCGCCGGTATACCGAGCACCTGAAACGCTGGAGAGGAGACCCAGGGAAAACGTTATGGGTTTCCCATTCCTTCCGCTCTGTCTGCCCATGACGAGAAGGTCACCGCTACCACCACCAGCACCCCTGAGGTCAGACCAAATATCCATCTCATCTAGAGTGCCATTCCCAGCTACATCATGCCACCTTGATCTCTCTGGAGGCACAGGCAGGATCTAAGTGTGAAAAACTACAATAAAATAAAATTCCTGCCAGCCTACAAGCCACCATCTTTTATCTCATGAAGCCACCCACCCCTTTTTAACTCACTGTTTCTTAAAGACAGTGACTGCATTTAGAGATTAATGGCAGAGCTAACACATCCATAACCCTAATATTTAATATTAATATAGCTATTAGGTAAGAAAGATTTACTGTTTATGCCTCAACGTTACACTTTTAAGATCCTATTTAATTTTATAAATCTGATATTTATTTCCTTACTTATCTTTACTTTTTAAAAAAAGCACAGTTTTTTTATACATACTGACCTCTGTTACTCTCTCACACACAGAGAAAGTCATATTAAGTTTGCATACCTATAAAGGTATCTGAGAAACCATATCCTTTCTAAAGAAAAAAAAATACAGTGGTGCCTCACAAGACGAACGCCTCGCGGGATGAAAAACCCACAAGACGAATGGTTTTTCTGATCGCTGGGATGCTTCGCAAGACAGCGTCTTCTATGGCCATGTTTCGCAAGACGAATGTTTTTCGCAAGACGAATGAATTATTTTCATCTTGCGAGGTTTCCATAGGAATGCATTGCAATGCATTCTTATGGGAAACCGCTTGTCATTGCAATGCATTCCTATGGGAAACCACTTGTTGCAAGACGAACATTTCGCAAGACAGCGCTACTCGCGGAACGAATTACATTCGTCTTGCAAAGTACCACTGTACTTTTATTTCAGACCCATCCAATGGAAAGGAACAGCCTCGTCTAAGGAGAAGTTCCCACGTGGAACGAATTACATTCGTCTTGCGAGGTAACACTATACTTTTATTTCAGATGCATCCAATGGAAAGGAGCAGCCTCGTCTAAGGAGAAGTTCCCCCACCACCACCACCAGCAAAAGGAAATCCTCCCTTTAGGATGTCACTCACTGGGACACAAGATGGCACAGTCCTAAAATAGACAAAGTGGGACTTTTCCTGAAAATCACAGGGGCCCGTTTTTCTTATACACAATCCTCAAACTAGCCAATGTAACACTCACTCAATGAACCAACCCAGAGAGCCCCAGCTCGGGGGGGGAGGGAGCCCTAAATACGGTCAATTCAAGGCGATGGGTCCCACCGCGGCTCACCCCGGAGCAGCGTTACCTTGCTGGAGACTTCGTACTCCACATGTTTGAGAAAGAGGCCCTTCTTCTCCGGGATCAGCTCCACCTGCACGGCGTCCTTGCTCAACAGCTCATTCAGGGTGTGGGAAAGCACCAGAGGGTTCCCCTGAGGTGTCTGCATCGGAGGCTCTTCCGGCTCCCTCGAGTCACTGATCAAAGGCTTGGCCAAGTCTAGGAGAGGAGGAGAATTTTTTAAAAAAACAAAACACCAAGGCCGCAGGTGGGGGGGGTGGAGGAATCTGCCGTGAAAACAACAGCCCCGGAACGTGATTTGTGTCCTCGCGACTTGCCCCAAAACCAGAGGCCGGGAACATCCAGAAAAGCAGCTCCTTCTGCACCCGAAGTGCCCACAGCGAAGAGTCCGTCCTCACCTCCCTCCCCGTAACATCGGGGCATCCCAAGCCGCACCTACAGGCAAGGCTTGCTGGCTGCTCCTCCGTCTGGATCAGGACAGGTGCCAAAAAAAGAGAGAGAGAAAGAGCCAACGCCGTCCGCCAGCCAAGAGGCCCGTATTTCCTGCCCGGCTTGCTCTCGCTGAGACAAGAATCCAAGCAGCAAATCCCTGAGTCAGCAGTCTTGGATCTCAGCAGCGAGGAAATGTGGACAGGGAAGGAGCTGTTCTTGCAGCTCCGAGGACCTTGTTGGTCTGGCCCATCCACGTCTACCGGACGTAGTCACGTAGCACCTGTCAGACCAACTGGGTTTGGGTTTGTTTTTTCACAAGCCTTCGGAGGTCGAAGCACATCTTCTTGCGAAAAATAAAAACTGGTTAGTCTTATAGGTGCCATGTGACTATCCCTGGCCTCTTAAAGGGCTTCCATTCGACAGAGGTTTTGTTTCACTCAACGCTGGAACTCAGAAAATATTGGGCTCATCAACCGTGAGCAGTTTCCCACTGTACGCAGATGAATGACTCGAAGACCAATTTAACGAAGCGGTATTCCCAACCTCCTCCTCCTCCTCCAATGAAAAGCAAGCAAGATATATCATTCATCGGACAGTCTTTCAAGAGAGCGGTTCGCAAGGGAGGATACAGCAATCAAAATCATAGCATAATATACAGAGAAGACAAGAAGTGGCAAATCCCCAAGGAGACCTATCTAAACAAAACTTCAACACCATGAAAGTAGACGAAAAGTGACATCGTCAGTGCTTGCCTATCTCCCCAGTCTGTCGTCTCTCGGCTGGTTCGACACTTGGGGTTCCCCAAGGAGAACACCTGCTTAACTGTGAATCATTCCCAGTTTCCTCTTATTATGGGGGAAAAACAGTTTCTAATTGCAGAACTTCATACACCCTGAAATAAAATGCTTCTCTATATTGCGTGTCAATAGACTATTATGGAAGTCACGTATCAGAGATCACGCAGGACTATTCTGTTACCTCTGAGCTTTTCCGATCATTGTTAGCAACTGCCCCGCTATTGATTCCGCCGAAAATGTGCGCTCAGCTTTTTCACACATAACTCTCACTGACAGCCAATATACTTTGCCAGTCCAGACCTCATGCTCCCGCGCGCAGTGCACTGTCAAACCAGAAAGCCCCAATTTCACATCGGCAAGCAGATTGCACAGAGGTCATTCCTAAGAATCTCAAATAAAAAACACCAATTAAAATGTCCATAAATAAGCACAGCAAATGCAACATCCTTCTGCAATAGCAGAGGCAATAGAAAGCTCTGTGTTGGTCTGTCAAAGGGGCAAGAAAAAGTGTTCTAGGTTTGTGTGTGATTCCTTTTAATGGCACATTTCCCAAGTTTCACTCCCCATAAAGTTATGGCAACAGCCTACCACAACCCTTTTTTAACCTTTCATTTTTCAGCTTGCTTATAAAAGTTTCTATTATTATTATGATCACCATCATCATCATTACCATTCCAGCAACCCTACAGCACATTGCAGCCTTTGAAATGCTAAAGATACATAAACACAAACTTTTATTTAGCAATAACACTGCCTACCTCTCTGTAAAGTTAAAAGCCCAGTGCCAAACACACCTAAGAAATACGTTCAGGCTTCTTGGGTGACTTTAAGACTTCCATCTCCGGCCACATGCCTGAGTTATTCTACTCCACCCAATGTATTTTACTAATCACACCCAACCAGCCTCTGCTGCTTCTCCTGACCCTCGGGCATCTTCCACATCCCATTAAATCCACCCACCGCACAACAAGCCAATCAAGCATGAGGTGAACTCATAATCTCATCAAATTACACGCAGAATCTTCCTGTGCAAAGCCTTCAGCTTTTGAGTTGGATGGACGGTTATGTCCACAGTAGAAACATCAACTTCAATTTATCACAATGGGTTTGAGGTTAGTCTAAAACTGATACTTCAAAGTTTCAAGAGTTATTTGGCAGATCTTTATTGTCCAGTATTTGTGACCGCACAAGGAACTCTGCCATTCTTTCACCTTCAGCGTCTTGAGATGTCTTGAATCCCAACACCCTGCGGCAGTGAGCATAGAATTTTGGAGTCTGATTTTTGTTTTGTGTGCAAAGCCATCGTTGCTTTTGTTTTGAGATTTGTCTAAGGAAACCTACACTGTCGATGCCCTCAGTCAATCCATCTTAAGGCCTGAGAAAATAATATGTTCATTCACATGAAGGTGGAGCCTTTCATCCAAAGCTATAGCCTTTTCTGTACTGCAGTTCCCACCAGCCTCCGTGCATATGGACAATGGTCTTCGGTTATCATCCGGTGAAAGAAGCCGTAACAAAATAATCACGGACATTTTCTCCTGTTGCAGAAAAATCCTATATATCTCAACGGAACTGTATGAAATTACTCACAGTTGTGCATGCAGCTGTAATCAAGTAGCAACCTAGTCGTTCTGGGGATATTCACTTGAAAATCAGTCCCCAATGGTGTTCTCCCAACTAAGTCTACCCCTAAATCCTTCATACTGCATTTCAAATTGGAAGGCAACCTATCCACCAGCACAGTGGAAAGCCTCATACAAAGAAAGACTAACAACCTAGTTTCACTGTACAGTACAGTGATGCCTCGTTTAACGATGAGGTTTTTGCGATCACAACGATTACCTCGTTAAACGATGAATCCGCTGGACGATGAGGTTTTTGTGATCACAACGATGTTTTAATGAGCAAAATTCGCTTCCCGACGATCGGTTCCCTGCTTCCGGAACCGATTCTTCGCATTACAATGATCAAAACAGGTGATCGTCAGGTTTCAAAATGGTCACCCGCTGTGTAAAATGGCTCCCCGCTGTGCTTTAGGACGGATTTTTCGCTGCACAGGCATCGGAAAATGGCTGCCTTATGGAGGATCTTCGCTGGACGCTGAGGTATTTAGCCCATTGGAATGCACTGAGCAGTTTTCAATGCGTTTCAATAGGCTTTTTTATTTCACTTGACGAGGATTTCGCTCTACAGCGATTTCACTGGAACGTATTACCCTCGTCAAGCGAGGCACACTGATGTTTGTTTTCACTCTTGCTGCTGTATATTGTCACGTGTTGAGTGAGGGATTTTCTGTATGCACATGTACAGCCTCACTGACCCTTCTCTCAATCAATCTTGGTCATAACACCTGTATGCACATGTACAGCCTCACTGACCCCTCTCTCAATCAATCTTGGTCATCATACGAGTGTCTTTTGTCCTTCAAACGAAGGAACACTGCGGATGGTGGTCTTGACCTGTGGCCATTCTTCTGTTTGGTGGCTGTTCGGTTTCTCCAGTGTAGAGCTCCGAAGACTCCTCTTTGCACTGGAACCACATATACTCTATTGCTCCTGTTGTGTTTTGGTATCTGGTCTTTTGGGTGGGCGACTCTCTGCCTTAGTGTGTTTATGGGTTTGAAGTGCACGGGGATGTGGTGCTTTCCAAAAATCCTTCTGAACTTTTCACTTGATGACCAAGATGTCCAGTGGTGCCTCGCATAATGAGCGCACTGTTTAACGACGAATCCGCATAGCGATCTATTTTTTGGGATCGTTAATGCGATCACATTGCAATGTTTTAATAGGCAAAACATTGCATTGCGATGATTGGTAAGCGTTTCGCTTACCGATCTTCGCATTGCGATGTTTGCAGAACAGCTGATCGACGGTTCCAAAATGGCTGCCGGGGGCCCAAAACGGCCACCGCAACCATTTTCACGCGATTTCCTCGCTTACCGAGGCAGCAAAAATGGCGGCGCTATGGAGGATCTTCGCATTACAGTGAGTTTTCGCCCCATAGGAACGCATTAAACGAAGTTTAATGCGTTTCTATGGGGTTCCCCCCCCCTCGCACTGCGATGTTTCCGGATAGCGATGATTAATACGGAATGGATTAACGTCACTATACGGGGCACCACTGTACTCATTTTGGACGGAGAAGATCCAACAGGGGTGGAGGCCTTAGATACAATCTGTCTCCTGTTTATCATCCTGCCCTTTCATCCATCCCCAGAAAGATTAGGACCGCACACAGAAAGACCACCGTTAACAACCCATGACAAGACTGAAGAAGCTACTTGGAGCCTAACAAGAGAGGAGTCTAGATGCTATGATTCAAATTCCAAATAACCACACCTGGGTAACTGAGAATCTTCACAAACCCACAACAATGGGTAGAGAGGGGCTGCAGAAGTGGGATTATCCCTCACCCCCCCCAGTCCATTGTCCTTCTAACGAGTTCATTCAGACCAGGGGGAAGTGAAACAAATGTGGAGAAGATATCAGGGGCCTCCTATCAACTCTCCTCAGACTGAAGAAGCTACTTGGAAGAATAGCAAAACGTTTTAATCTAACAAGAAAGAAGTCCAGTGGCCATGACTCAACTTCCAGATAACCCAGTGATGGTTAAAGATTACAGATGACTGCAAAAAGAAAAGAAACAGAGGACTGCATGCATTTTACACACGTCTTCCTCCTGCCTCTGGAATACAGAAAACGCTAAGGATGGAAAGTACAAATACAGGCTCCTAAACCGACCGCAAGCCCTCCAGAATCCTAGGGTTCCAACTGTTCATGGCTCCCATTCAAAAAGAAAACCGTGGGGGAGCATCATTCAACTGCGCCTAAATTGGATTTTACGCTGTGATTTCAACAGGCCTTAACTGGGCATAATTGGACTGAACAGGAACTAAGGAGTCTGCTGTAGAATCATGCCCAACTCTTTATGTATCTGAGAGACTTCAAAATCCTTTCTAATATTGACACCATGCATTCACAGATCAGGGCAAAATAATGCAAATGAAAAACATCTCTTCATCAGTAAAATGATGAGAGTCATTATTATATGAAGCAATGGTACTCCTGGGGAAAACATGATTCAATGTGATGCAGTACATATTTTGATACCAAGCCCAACATTTATGCCAAGGAACACAAAATATGAAATGGTCCCGCAGTAGAGTCCCTTGGCACGTCCTGGGATACATCTTTAAATGAAGTCTCCTGCCAGGGTTTTCGTGGCAAATCTGAAGTTCGATGTCCCTGAAAGCTCTCCAGAAGCAAATCTATCATCTGACTGGCAAACTTCAATAAGGAACCCACCCAAGATCATTAGCCAAGAAGACTAAGGCGGATACTGCTGTCAGCCCATCGGTATGAACTGCTGTGTCCAACCATTTTAAAAAAAGGTTGTTTTCTAAATGTTGCAACCGGACGGCAGATTACTGTTTCCTTTCACAGGAGTATTATCTCTATTCCAATGAGTCGGCCTTGACGGTTTTCACAGCAAGCCCCTTCCACAGCTGCAGGACCCCAGCCTAGGCAAATGTTGCTGCAACCGTAGGATTCTTATGGTTACAGAAAGAATTACAGTAGTGCCTCGCTTAACGATTACCTCGTTAAACGAGGAAACCGCTGTACGGTTAGTTTTGAAATGAGGTTTCAATGGCCAAAAATCGCTGCACGATGATTGGTTCCCTGCTTCAGGAACCGATTTTCCACTTTACAACAATCAGCAAACAGCTGATCGTTGGGTTTCAAAATGGCCGCTGGCTGAAGAAAATGGCTCCCTGCTGTGTTAGGGACGGATTCCTCGCACTACAGGCACCAAAAAAATGGCCGCCCTATGGAGGATCTTCACTGGATAAGCAGGTACGTAGCCCATTGGAACGCATTGAACAGGTTTCAATGCGTTTCAATGGGCTTTTTTATTTGACTTAACGAGGATTTCGCTCCACAGCGATTTCGCTAGAATGGATTGTTCTCGTTAAGCGAGGCACCACGGTATAAAAGGCTTTTCAGCACACTTCAGTGCTGTTCAGTTAAATCTGATGCACAGCAGCTGACATCCTTGGAACTATCAAATCAGCTAAGGTTGGTTCTATGAGCAGCTAAACAACGTTTCCCAGTGTGGTGTAGTGGACAGAGTGACGGATTAGGACCCTGTAGAACAGGGTTCAAATCCCCACTTGGCCACGGAAACTTATGGGAGGAGTGGAACTGGTAAAAGCACTCCTTAAAATATCTCACTTCTCTTGACAGCCCCGTTAGGATCTCTAGAAGTCTGTTCCGACTTGACGGCACAGAACACAGGCACACAAATAAGCCACATTTGAAGTGCAGAAGGGAAGCCAAAAGCACAGACAGAATAGATTGCTTATTCCTAACACAACGCAAACCCACAACCTCAAGTAAGGAGAGGTTGGCTGGTAAACTGTCTCAGCTTGGCACACAGGAGTTTAGAGGGCTTGTTGTTGTCATAAAATCTTTTTTGAGGCATCACTTTGCTCAGTTTTTCAACCATCTGGCATGGACACCAAAACAGTTAGAATTTATGCCGTCATAAAAGTCTGCAGACCAAAGAATTCCCTTATGGTGGAAAGTCCAGACAAAACCTTTTGGCAAATCTACCGATATTCATTTTAGACGAGTGTTTTCCAAGACATTCATCTTAGAAAATACTGCAAAGGAGAAAACGGCCATCGTAACAGCAGCTACAGAAAATCAAAATTTCAACGACAAGACAGAAGGGGAAAAGATAGCCGGGAAACAAAAGAAAGTCCGTCGGGAAGGAAAATTAAATTTTGCTCATAACTCTCTCGTACCATAACTTCAAAAAGAAGTGACTTCTGATCCAGAT